CCACGCTGGTCGCATTGTTGCCTTGCCGTACCGAGCTGTGCTGAGCGCCTTTGCTCCATCAGACCAAGCAACAGCTGCAGACAGAAAAAATGTATATCCACACCATCTACATGTCAGTATCAAGACACAGAGGAAATGAAAAACACAGTCACACGTGACTTACACGTCTATACTTATTCATATATCCATGATGCAGTGAAAAAGTTTCCCCAAATTCATCACACGGGCTGTTATGGCACACAATGAGAGGGTGAATGGTCACAAATATGCCTGGAAGCCCTCGTATCTTCAAAATGAATGTGAACCCAAAACTCCGAGCACACAATTTCGGCTGTCTGGCTACAAAAGAAATATTTATAAGAGCTAAATTCGGCTGACATAGCAAAGGGTGTTGAAAACAATCCTATTTGTGTTATGCAGAAATGCGTAAATTAATACTGGTAGGAACCTCCTGGTTACACCAGCCCACAGGGGATTATTGTGTCCGTCGTGAAGGGAGGGGCTGGGTGGGGAGGGTGGGGAGGGGCTGGGTGGGGCTGGGTGGTGGGTGGGGAGGGTGGGGCTGGGTGGGGAGGGGCTGGTCACCCCGTGGTGCCCTTATAAAACTCAACGTTTCACCTACTCACGCCGGCTTGTGCCCGCACTCACAGTCGGGCATATTTGCGGAATACACCACGCCGCCGTTGACCCTGCAGGCCATTGAGCGAGCAACCCGACGTTCCTAGCAGCTCCCTCCGCAGCAGCAGGAATGTTGTTCAGTGGCAACTTAGCGGTGTGAAGCCAGGCTCAAATGTCCTTGAATGATGGGATGAACAGATCTGACGTCAGCTGCTGCACGTGTGTGTGCTGTGCTAACTTCCTGCTTCCACTCTTATAAAGAGTTCCAGAGGAAAACTAAAATAAACTATTGTTTTGATACAACCTCCGTGTTCAACAGAGTTAATATACTTTACACTGTCACACACTGCCCGGTTTCTCCCTCCACATTCAGCGTCTTTGACAGACAGACATTGACACACGTAGTCTTGGTTCGTTCGGTAAAGTCACGTAGATGGGAAATAAAAATAACAGATCATGAAATTAAATTAAATAATGACCACTTGTGTGGCGATCGAAACGTCGTGGGTTTATTCTTTATTTGCAATTTTTTAATTTTATTTAACATTATTATCTGTTATTTTTTTTAATCTCCGTGACTTCACCGAAAGAACCAAGAATATGAATTGCTGCAGTTACTAAAGTTTTAAGTCAAAACCCCAACCCACCTTGTGTCGTGGGCAGGTGGCTTCTGTAAACAAGAGCGTTATAGCAGCTCAGGCGGGCTTGGGCTGGTAAAAAAACGAAAAAAAAAACTGCGTTAATATCTACAATAAACCAAAGTGACAAAGTAGCGAGCCGCGTGAAGACAAATTAAACTTAAGGGAGGGAATTAAAGCAAACGCGACCAGGCGAGGGCAGGAGGCAAGGCCCCGCGTGTCTAGGCCCCGCGTTGTAAAGTTCCAACTTGGACATCGATTCACAAGCTGCTGCTGCTGCTCTATTGACATCCCTACGAGAGAGAGCGAGGCTCTACCTTGGTAAACAACAACAACCACCACAACAACAACAACCACAACAACAACCACGACGATGAGAATTTCTCACCTCGGATTTCACTGCACGCGCGGGGCGACAGCTTCCTGTTACCTCGTGACGTCACGCGGTAGTAGGTGACATGACGTCACTTCCTGGGCACGAGACACGCCCCTCCCACAACGAGCGGCTCTGTAACTAAATATGAATAAATTATGTTAATGAGACCGTCGCGATAAGCTCGTGACGTCATTAACGGACTCTTTATGTTAATGAGCCGCCCGTCACTGGGCGTGGCTTTGCCCAAATAAGGATTGGCAACTGGAACGACGTCTGCAGTGAACGAGGCGGAGGTGACGTCACGTTCAAGAGCGCGGGGGACGGGGGGGGTGGAATTCTTGGTGACATGACGTCACTAGCGAGGTACACCTCCCCCTGGCGTTTCACGCGGATGACGTAATGCTGAGTGGGGACGTCACAGAGCGGGGTACACAGTGTGTGTGTACACTGTGTGTGTGTGTACACTGTGTGTGTGTGTACACTGTGTGTGTGTGTACACTGTGTGTATGTACACTGTGTGTGTACACTGTGTGTGCGTACAATGTGTGTGTGTGTGTGTACACTGTGTCTGTGTACACAGTGTACACACACAGACACACACACACAGACACACACACACAGACACACACACACAGACAGACACACACACATACACACAGACACACAGACACACACACACAGACACACACACAGACACACAGACACACACAGACACACACACACAGACACACACACAGACACACACAGACACACACACAGATACACACACAAACACACACACACAGACACACACACACACACACAGACACACACACACAGACACACAGATACACACACAGACACACACGCACAGATACACAGACACACAACAACAACCGCCATTCGCCACTAAGTGGCGGTGACGTCACCACGATGCTTGTGCCAGGCCAAGTGCACCTTGAGGCCACGTGAAGTGTCGAAAGCCCGCTGGCAGGAGGTCACGGGGCAGACCCAGGTGCCACTGGTCGACTGACCGAGATGACCGAGATGACTGGCTGATGCACCACCTGTGCCCCCTACTGTGCCAACTTGCTGTGCTTTAGCCACCCGGCGCTCCGCTCGTTGTTGTGAGCGTCGCTCCTCCGCCCTCCGTTGTTGTTGGAGGGCGACTGCCTCCAACTGCCCAGTAG